CACCAAGTAACATGCTATGAAATATACCAATTCTTGGTATCCTCTTAAACATATATTATACTCATTACTCCAGGTACTTTGCTATACATGCTTAAGGTATGAAGTTATGCATAATATCCAGCATCGTAAACTAAACCGCAGACTCTAAGCCCTCACTATGCAATAAAACGTGTTACACTGATTACTGCAAAACCAGAACCCTTTCGTACAAGTCTTGTAGTGTGCCGAAAGTTTTAGGTCCTGATACTAACTAATGCCTTCAGTCTTATACTATATTGCCTATGCCGAATACTGTAAGTCCAATACCATGTTATATATGTCTAATACTGTAACTAATACTTTAAATTCTAAACTATACTAAATGTGTATCCCTCTAATGATGAAACTAATCATTGAGCCCTCTACTCTTTTACATGTCTGATATTGTAACTAATACGTCCTATGCTATGCAATATGGGTCTAATACTGTGACCAATACTTAAAGTTGGATACTATCTAATATATACTGGACACAAATAGTTAGGGATATATGTAAATGTTTCATTTACATATTTATTCATTGACACACTGATGAAATATCAATCATAAAAATACCAATATCCCTAACTTATTTTGTAATTATGTAGCTTGTAGTTTAATTACTGTGCAATACAAGTCTGCTACTGGTACTTTAGTCCTATACTATGCAATGTAACATGTTAAACAACTACAGTTAGCACATCATGTCTTCTTGTGGTCATCAATCAAGGACATAGACCATACCTAACACACAAGTGCTGATATTATGTGAACTTTTGGACAGACAATATTATCTTATAAGTATCTACATCTTGTACTGGCAAAGGGATATGTTACCACCGGGACATTTACTAGTTAGCCATTGGTTACATGTTGTAGGTAACCTGTATTCGTATATACAGCTACTCTATATAGGGAATGAATATTATACCGCAATACTCGTCACCATACTCGTCACTATACTCGTCACCATACTGCCTGCTATGAGTCCCGGATACCTCTAAGTAGTAGAATAAACTACACTGGTATCTGGTCCTGGCACAGTGACAACACTTCCTTGAATAGCTACCCTATATGTGAATTCAAATTTGAACGTCGGTTCAGCCTCGGCACTCCTTCAGTGTTATCAAATTCTATTTTAAACAAAAAGACTTTAAGTGGAACAGTATATATTCTATCACATATGGTGGGACAGCCCATCGTTGAGGTGAACAGTCAACTTATCATGTTTTATGCATAACTTGAAGCTTTAATAAATGTAACTTTACTCCAAGTGAGTTGGCAGGAGACACACGCTAGATCTGTGTTGCAAAAGTTCATATGAAGTTTGGCGAGGGTTCAACAAGCCCTTAGCGATCGTATCTCAGTTCCACCTGGCTGCGCCCCTCTACAAAAGCCGCACAGGCATCCGTAGTTGTATGAATACGTTTCTGGGTCATACTATGAATGGCAAAATCTCCCCATTGAATGAGCGGTCGTGCGATTCATACCACTAGTCAGTATAAGCAGACAAACGCTCGGAACAGGGTATAGCTTGTCAAATTTAAAGATAACGTATGCATAGTTAGGGCACCATGGCCAATAAACAGCCGCCTGACTATGTATACACATATGGTTGGCGATAGGGTTTAACGTCGTAGAAGCCTATTTACTCGGGTATGGTAGAGACAGAGTCTGCGTGTGATGTTTTTGTGAATGGTTATAGTTTTATATAAACCCACAAAGGGATTAGCACCCTGGTCTATTTGTATAATGTATAAATCAATCATTCCACTAAAATGGATGTAGCCTTACACAATCTATGTTTCCATAATTTAAAAGAAACTGCATTTAGGGTCTAGAACCTTCTGATCTTGTAATTGAACTGAGGTTTCACATGGACAATACACATGTATCTGTGTATGCGTTGACCTATTCCCAAGGGGAAAATAATTCCGTATCCAACACAGTGTTGTTAAGGTAATGACTGTGTACATACAATAAAAGCAATTTCACATTCTAGTTATTTGAAAAGAGTAGTCAAACAATGACATCAATATTTAGATATAAACTTGAACGTATCATGATACCATCTGTTATGGCAATGCATCACAGGCATGTTGGCAAGTACAAGAGAACACTATAACTCTCTGGAGTACATGTACAAGAAAACACTATAACTCTCTGGAGTACATGTACAAGACAACACTATAACTCTCTGGAGTACATGCACAAATTAACCTGGACATGTATTTCAGAATCGGATTCATAGGACACACTGTCCAAAGACACATTGTACTTTCTGGTATATTCTTGATATCTACACCTTACTTTCTTGAACATTGTACATTTCATACATATTGTATTCTTGATATCTACACCTTACCTTCTTGTACATTGTACATTATACACATATTGTATTCTTGATATCTACACCTTACTTTCTTTTACATTGTACATAGATATCAAGAATACACATATTGTATTCTTGATATCTACACCTTACTTTCTTTTACATTGCACATAAAACACATAGTCTATTCTTGATATCTACACCTTACTTTCTTGAATATTGTGTATTATACACATATTGTATTCTTGATATCTACACCTTACTTTCTTGAATATTGTGTATTATACACATATTGTATTCTTGATATCTACACCTTATCTTCTTAAACAATATACATTATACACATATTGTATTCTTGATATCTACACCTTACCTTCTTGAACAGTGTACATTATACACATATTGTATTCTTGATATCTACACCTTACTTTCTTGAACATAGCACATTATACACATAGTGTATTCTTGATATCTACGCCTTACCTTCTTGAACATTGTACATTATACACATAGTGTATTCTTGATATCTACACCTTACTTTCTTTAACATTGTACATTATACACATAGTGTATTCTTGATATCTACGCCTTACCTTCTTGAACATTGTACATTATACACATAGTGTATTCTTGATATCTACACCTTACTTTCTTGAACATTGTACATTATACACATATTGTATTCTTGATATCTACACCTTACTTTCTTGAACATAGCACATTATACACATATTGTATTCTTCATATCTACGCCTAACTTTCTTGTACATTGTACATTATACACATATTGCATTCTTGATATCTACAACTTACTTTCACGTACATTGTACATTATACACATATTGTATTCTTGATATCTACACATTGCTTTCATGTACATCGTGCATTATACACATTGTATTCATCATATCTACACATTACTTTTATGTGCATTGTGCATTATACACATATTGTATTCATCATATCTAAACCTTATTTTTTATACATTGTACACAACAAACACTGTGTATTGTCCATATTTACACCTTTCTAGTACATGGCGTTGTTGATGACCACAGACATGTTGGACCAATCAACAATGACTTGCATATGGTGCTGGTTTCTCCCATACAGCTGGGGGGACTACCTACCTGCATGCTCTGAAGGGTTAGGGCGATGTACCTACAGGGAAAGCATGTTTGCTTTAGGTGAGTCAGCCGGGGTCCACGAGGGTTTATAAGAAGTATAGGGACAAGTTAGGAATTCGAGATTCATCAAAATCCTACAAAATGTATTTGTCGTGGTTTTCATGAGTGACGTTTTCAGTAAGGTGTTGCAGATCGCCTGCTTGTGGAGTTTCTCAAGCGTGCCCCTATTCAAAGACCTTCCTTGACTTGGAAGGATGGCTTTACTTAGGTTTTACACAACTGGGATTTAAAATGAAATCACGAGGCACGTTTGCGAGTATGGTTCTGGGCTACAGCGTGGCCCGGGCTGAAAGAGCGGTTTTACTAGAAACTGTTAACTCCTGCTCAAACACACCGCTCTCAACATAATGTTTACTGAGGGACACATGTCAATCCTGGTTTGAGGGTCAGAGGTCAAACTTGACTTTGGGTTAAAGGTTAAACCCTATCCAACCTGCCTAGCAGCAATTTGAAACGTTAACCCACAATCGGGTTAAGCAGCCATAGCATCCAGTGAGTACTAACTCAACGTCAATATTAGAATTTATTCAATATCGCAGATAGTACACTTGACCAGATTAATGATTCATGCATAAAACGTATGTGACATTTTGGTTTTTTTCATGTCTATATTTGCATATACCTTCAATTATAATCTCACATCGAATTCTTACACTAGAACAGTAACTATAATACTATGTCTACATATATCTAACCAGTACTTGGCACTAAAGCAGCTCCACGCAGCAGCAAAACCTGCACGATGAAACCGGTTGATCAAGCACAGAATTAATCTTGACCGAGCAGAAAGACAAGGCCGACTAAAGAAAGATTGGGCTAATTGCCACCGTTAACCCTCCCAGGCCTGAAGTTCCCACAATTGCAGGGACAGCATGTGTCTATCAGTTTGCACATCATGCCTTTTGTACAGTATACTGAGTGAAGTAAAATAGTGCAATGTGGATATGTACATTGTATTGTGTTGAGTAAACGTTTTGCCTCTCAAGGAATGTATATATTTACAGTGTACATAATGAAGTAAAACACTTTGTCTCTGAAAGAAAGTGTATATTTACAGTGTATAATGTCAGTGGAAACCCTTTGTCTGCCACAACACATCTACATATAATCTCTCACTGGATGATAATACAGACCATATTTCGCTCAAGAGAATTGCAAATGATATATTGTAATGATCCGCTTGTTGGGTAAACAGTGTTTTCTGGTACGCTTCATTCGAGGAAAATTTCGAATTCTATTTTCTCATTCTACAATTATTATATACTTAACACAAGACTTGGTATTCTTCTGCACTGACGTTCTATATTTCTAACGTAGACTCACTGTATGTATGATTTAAGAACCAAATTCCTTGAACCTTAACTCGGTATTCTGATAATGGTACGTCATGTCTTGCCGTGTATAAGACATACATTGTATGTATAACATAGGTTATGTATAATGTAAACCAACAATACCAAATAAACTGTTTGTCGCTTTTATTCTTTAGATTACAGATCGACTTAGGAATTTACAAGATCGCTGATGATTATACACTTATATATTTAAGGTCGATCTTCACAGCAACCTAGCGCTTATCAACAACATGTGGTCTACATAGACCTATGTACAGTATATAACAACAGTTATCGTACAATTCTTGCAACTTATCCTCATCGAAAGCATACATAGGTTCCCACCCTTGTTTTTGTGCTGCCACTGGGATGGGCAGTGGATATTTCATTTTTAATGCTAAGCTTTACTGGACGAAAACGAAATAAACTTTGGTAAATTTCAGTTTATTAACACCGAATGCAACAGGGGGCTCACCTACTGCAAGCTACGTCTGCTAAAATGCAGTTATTTTGGCGTTATTAAATACAGTGATAGTTAAATACGATGTATAGTCTTAAGGATGATAGATTAGACCCAAATGTCACAATACTGCTCAAAACACAGGAGATACACATTACTCAAACAATGTTAATTTGGTTATGTTATATAAATTTTTCTCGGTTCGGCAGTTTCATTTCGCACTATCTTCACATGTGAAGCACAAGGGGTCAAATGTCAGTAAACGTATTAGCACTACAATTGGAAATTACACCATATAGCACGTTAACACAGGGTCAATTTGTTCTACATTCCGTACATCCAGGAATAATGAAATCTTCAGTCTTCACAATGCACCACTGTATTCTAGCAATACCTAGTCGATGCCATTTACCAGTTATCCCTTCACGTTTACTCCGGGAAGAAGTAATTGTTTCAAATGCACATATAAATGAACTTGCCAAAACAAGTTCTCCACTGACCACAACGGAAACAGGCCTTTCTTAAAGTACACCTTTTCCTTCGACGAGAAAGCCATTTTGAGATCGAAAATCTCCAGTAGTGCACACTCACACACTAATGCAACCAGTTGCAAGATTCATCACAATGACGTCACAACTGAAGCGAGACTGTGTCTGTTGGTACCACTGCATCACGTGGGTTCTAGTATTCTGTGCTTCCATAGTTTCGTACTCGCAATGGAGTAACCATAGTTTCGTACGCACATCAAGCACAATTTACTTGTATCCAATACTTGATGGAACTTTTTCGAAAGAAATATTTGATTTGGTTGCAGAACTGCTTCCATGAGCAAATGCTTGTTACACCACGCAAACACCTGATGCAACCGAAACACGATGTAAATCCAATTGCAAGACAGAAGCATTCCTTACTTGTCTGAAATGGATGGTGGTGTGTAAGGGACACAATTCAAAAATGGAACAGTACTCCGTACATCGAAATCAAGGTGCATTAGTACTAATTTGTGTTTTCCTTTTTTGCCTCTTGGTTTTCTTACTACTCTTCCTCCTTTTCTTCTTCCTCTTCTTCCGTTTCGTCCTGTTGTGTTCATCAACTGTCTTTTTGCACTTGCAGCTTTTTACCACTTTAATCTTATATGTCCTAATTGTCTTGTCCTGGCAAAGCAGGCGGACTTTCTTCCGCCTCACTATGTCCTCCTCACACTGCCATTCCCTCAGTTTATCATTAGACCAATATTTCACAAACTCCGAATACCATGGCAATCGTCTGATTGGTAAACAGTTACCTGCACACACCACTTCATTAATAGGCTTCGTCGACGTACAGAAGCCATCCGATATATAGCGTTTGGCTCTCAACTGTCGACATCCGACTTGAATATCATCTGAAGTAGAAAACAGATTGTTATTTGTATTTTAACACTGAATCCTAATCACATTTATTGCTATCAAAGTATGGGCTTGTTTTTAATGATAATAAACCAAATGGCTGTGAAACTATTTAAATCTTCCTGATTGTATGCATGTTTAAAAAGACACATATTACCTACTTTCTGAAAGGAACATATCATTTACACGCTCTATCAAAGATTGCCCATATGTTGATGGCATTGAGACATTCTTGTGTAATCAACATACTCCACAGAATGCGATGAAATGTTAACAATGTTTATAACTAGATCCATAGCTCTGTCTTACGTTGCATGTGTCTCTAGTTAATGTGTCCCAACTCAAATGTTATATCATTTACACCTACTTTCATTTGAAACACAAATTTAAATGTTTTTCAATTTGGACATAATGTCTTTTACAGGTGTCCGCCCATACTAAACATGTTCCACATCTTTACAAATGCCATTTGTCTGCAACACAGAGAGGTCTGAGCTCAGTATTACCTTTCTGAGTGTCTGTGTACACACAGTTTAGCCTAAGGTTAAAGACAGGTGCATATGTTGTTGGGATTAAAACACAAAAAGTACATTTCGAATGACCGTGAGCTAAAACAATCATGCACACTCTGAACGTCTGAAAAATAGAAGCGTACATATTAGTAAAATATGATTGTGTGCAATGTTACATTACAGTAAACTAGTTCGTTCATCTCAAAGCTACTTCATCCTGATGATTTCAGATGTTTAGTATGAGAACTTTTTGTTTCCAGTCATCACCCCGTGGAAGCGAGCCGTTACAAAATGTCAAATATTCTGTGGAAAACAACATTTCAACGATCACAAAAAAATCTCTGAAAAAAACAGCGTCCATTCTGGGACACCGACTACTTCAGACACATGTGTCTGTGAATCGCTCTCATATATGTATCATAACAGGTGTTTGCGAAAAGGTGGTACCGGTCACAAACACATGTAAAGGCAAATCAATGAGATTATCATCCTATCAATATGTGTTAATGTGCATCCTCATTTCGTGTCGTATCATGTACAGCGTTGGGGGCAGGGTTGGGGTGATTATGGCTGTTGGTTGGGACTTCAGACAGGATAAGGCAGAGATGGAGTGATGATGGCTGTTGGTTGGGACTTCAGATAGGATAAGACAGAGATGGAGTGATGATGGCTGTTGGTTGGGACTTCAGACAGGATAAGACAGAGATGGAGTGATGATGCAGATGCAGTAGGCAATAACAACAAATAAGGACCAACTTAGTGTGAGACTATGATAGACGGGTGAAACGTATGGTACTACGGTGAAATATGACAGTAGGGTGAAACGTATGACAGTAGGGTGACGTATGACAGAATGGTGAAACGTATGGCAGTAGGGTGAAACGTATGACAGTAGGGTGAAACGTATGGCAGTAGGGTGAAACGTATGACAGTAGGGTGAAACGTATGAAACGTATGACAGTAGGGTGAATCGTATGGCTGTAGGCTGAAACGTATGGCAGTAGGTTGAAACGTATGACAGTAGGGTCAAACGCATGGCAGTAGAGTGAAACGTATGGCAGAAGGGTGAAACGTATGGCAGTAGGGTGAAACGTATGGCAGTAGGGTGAAATGTATGGCAGTAGGGTGAAATGTATGGCAGTAGGGTGAAACGTTTGGCAGTAGGGTGAAACGTATGGCAGTAGGGTGATATGTATGGCAGTAGGGTCAAACGTATGACAGTAGGGTCAAACGCATTGCAGTAGAGTGAAACGTATGGCAGAACGGTGAAACGTATGGCAGTAGGGTGAAACGTATGACAGTAGGGTGAAACGTATGAAAAGTATGGCAGTAGGCTGAAAAGTATGGCAGTAGGCTGAAACGTATGACAGTAGGGTGACACGTATGGCAGTAGGGTGAAACGTATGACAGTAGGGTGAAACGTATGGCAGTAGGGTGAAACGTATGGCAGTAGCCAAACGGGAATAGTTGCTGACAAAGAGGAAGGGTTTCAGATGAAGTAAACAAGCAGTTAAACATAGGTATGTGGTGTAAAACTGGTACATGTAAATAATATGACAATATGTAAGATGAAAGGTGTCATATGTAAGCCAAACAAGATTGAGTGCAGGTAGGTAATTAGTCAGATAGGCTGGTGAATCATAGGCGTTAAATAGATATATCAATCATAAAAATTGGGCACACAAAGTAGGAAGATAAAGTAGAGCCTAGATTGGCAGGTAAAACGGTAGACAGGTCAATTGTGATGCAGGACATAGGCGGGTCTTATATATGGTGTGAAGATACGGCGTACATATTGGCAAAGTAGGTTCTATATGCTACAGAGATGGCTTGGCAGGTCATTAATACACATAGATAGTTAGGTAGTTTATATTTGGTGCACAGGTAGGATACATGCATAAACAAGTGAGTCAGTTTTTAGACTATGCAGAGATACGAAGACTACTTATACATGGGGTTGAGACAGGTAGATATGGAAGGTAGGTAGGTAGGTAGGTTATATGCGTAAATACAGGTAGGTAGGTTATATATGGTGCAGATATAGGTAGGTAGGTAGGTTATAATTGGTGTAGATATAGGTAGGTAGGTTATATATGGTGTAGATATAGGTAGGCAGGTTATATAGTGTGCAGAGATGCGTAGGTAGGTTAAATATGGTGTAGATATAGGTAGGTAGGTTATATATGGTGCAGATATAGGTAGGTAGGTTAAATATAGTGTAGATATAGGTAGGTAGGTTATATATGGTGTAGATATAGGTAGGTAGGTTAAATATGGTGTAGATATAGGTAGGCAGGTTATATATGGTGCAGATATAGGTAGGCAGGTTATATAGTGTGCAGATATAGGTAGGTAGGTTAAATATGGTGTAGATATAGGTAGGTAGATTATATATGGTGCAGATATAGGTAGGCAGGTTATATAGTGTCCAGATATAGGTAGGCAGGTTAAATATGGTGTAGATATAGGTAGGTAGGTTATATATGGTGCAGATATAGGTAGGTAGGTTATATATGGTGCAGATATAAGTAGGTAGGTTAAATATGGTGTAGATATAGGTAGGTAGGTTATATATGGTGCAGATATAGGTAGGTAGGTTATATATGGTGCAGATATAAGTAGGTAGGTTAAATATGGTGTAGATATAGGTAGGTAGGTAGGTTATATATGGTGCAGATATAGGTAGGCAGGTTATATAGTGTGCAGATATAGGTAGGCAGGTTAAATATGGTGTAGATATAGGTAGGTAGGTTATATATGGTGCAGATA